TATTCCCCTGTGTTCTTATCTCTCTCTGTGCAGGGCTGTTCCAACGACTAGGCCTACACCACATCCTGTAGAACACACAACGCCTGTCAGGGAGTAGGCAATCAGATTGCAATGCACACTATAGTTGTCAGAAGCAATCCAATCAGCCAACATGGGGCAAATAACTGTCAAAGAACAGCCAATCAAAAAAAAAAAAGAGACGACAATATGAGTCCAATCAACTAGCAGAGCATGCAAATAAATCTCAACATTCAGCAAAAATGGAAATATTATAATGCCTGTCGATGACAAGCCAAATAAATGTAGAACATACTAACAATATTTTCAGTCATTGAGCACAAGCATGACAAAGGCTGCGTTTAGACAGACAGCCCAATTCTGATATTTATTTTCTCCACTAATTGGCCTTTTGACCAATCAGATCTGAAAAAGATCCCCTTCATTATCGATGCATCATACCAACAACATCAAAAGAGCGTTTCCAGTCTCTGAAGTCAGGAGGACTTCGAGTTAGATGTCAGCCAGACTGCTGTTAGTCAGCACCTCTACACCATGCTCTTTACTAGATTCTGGGGAATCAGTTTCAGCTCAACTATTCTCATTTAATTTCATGATTCAGCTCCTCAAAAAAAAATCAGTTTCTACCCCTGGTTATGTTACCATGGTTGTAAATAGCTTCCCTTTCATGTCTTCTTTCTTTCACAACCACAGATCTGAGCAAACGTGGTAGGTGGCAACAATATGCTGCAAATGCATCCTGTCCTTCCTATCGAAGGCCATGAGGTAAATAAGAAAGGACACAACCCCTATCTCAGGCAGGAAAAACTCAATGTAAAGCACTACCACAACCTCAACAACACATCCATTATTGCATTGATGTCTATCTTTCTCAGCTCAGAACAAAGAACTAGACAATTACCGACTGGTAAACATATTTGTTTTGGTGCGCTTCTCACCATTGTGGCGGGAAACACTGGCCACCTCAGTTTGCAGTGGTGAATAGCACTGCAAATGCAAGCCCTTTAAAGTTAAAGCCTTGTGACAGTGGCATGCGTCATAAAGAGCTGATGGCGAGGGCGAGTCATGAAATAGGGTGCGGAGAGTCAGAGTCGCTCAGATGACATCGGTAGACCATGAAGGGAGAAAGGAATCTTATTTCATAGCTTGGGGACATTCTAGTAGCTATGGATACGGAGTTGTATAGGGATGCTTTGTGTGGAGAAGCAGCGAGGAGGAACACAAGAGATAATGATCCATAAAGTACAGAGGCTTGAGAAGTCGATGGTTCTCGCCCAGTGCAAGGGCCCAAAAGTCGTGCGTATATAGTGCTCTACTTTTGACCAGAGCCCACAGAGGCCAACAAACAGCCCCTTTCCAATACTTCTAAATGAAATGCTATGAAAGCCACTTGGCATCCATCAAGAACTCGACTGGTTTGCCATATCCAAAAATGGTCAATAAAAAAAAAAAGTATTTGAAAATAGACAAACAAAATGTAAGGATAGCCTTATAAATCTAACTTTCTTTTAGACTATTTATACAAAAAGAAGTCCTGGATGCTTTACTTGCCGTAGACAACAAGAAATCCACAGGGGCCGACCAATTGGATCCTGGTCTGCTTAAGTGTCCAGCGCCCATCATTGTTGGCCCAATAAACCACATTTGAAACATTTTATCATTGTTATCAGGAAATATTTGAAAAAAAAGTATGAAAAACAGCTTATGTGCTGCCACTCCATAAGGTCGGGGATAATAGTGATCTTGATCATTATCGTCCCATCTCCAGGCTTTCACGTCTAGCCAAGACTCTCAAATCTTTGGTAAATAAGCAACTTCGCTCTTTTTTTTATCTAAGCATGGTATTTTGAATATAAATCAATCTGGGTTTAGGCCAGCGCACAGCACTATCACAGCAACCACATCAGTTGTTAATGATATTGTCAATGCTTCCGACGCTAAAATGAATTGTGCTGCCTTGTTTGTGGGCCTGTCATACCGTTGATCATGCTATTTTATTGAACAAGTTGTCCTCGATTGGCCTGGGCTCTGACACCTGCTCTTGGTTTCATGATTATCTTAGTGACATAACTCAGGCCATCGTGATTGATGGGGTTAAGTCCGAATTTCTTGAAGTACATAAAGGTGTTCCGCAGGGGTCAATACTAGGACCTGTTCTTTTCACTATTTATATAAATGCTATTGGTTAATCTGTAGAAGAAAAAAAAAAAACATCTATATGCGGATGATACTATTATGTACGCAAATACCTGGCTGTGACAAGGCTATAGCACGATTTTGCAGTTGTGCAGGAAGACCTTACTGATTTAAAACTCATGCTTAATATGGGCAAAACCAAATACATGTTGTTTTCAAGTTCTCGTAAGATTGTCTCAGATGGGTTACATCTTCACTCATCAGATGGTTCTGTAATCGAATGAGTCACTGCATACAAATACCTTGGTATTTGGATTGAAAATGATTTATCGTTTGAAAAATATACGAATGAGCTTGTTAAGAAACTAAGATTTAAGGTGGGCTTTTTTTTACAGAAACATACAGTGCCTTGCAGAATTATTCATCCCCTTTGGTGTTTTTCCAATTTTGTTGCGTTACAACCTGTAATTTAAATGGATTTTTATTTGGATTTCATGTAATGGACATACACAAAATAGTCAAAATTGGTGAAGTGAAATGAAAAAAATAACTTGTTTCAAAAAATTCAAAAAAATAAATAACGGAGAAGTGCTGCGTGCATATGTATTCACCCCCTTTGCTATGAAGCCCCTAAATAAGATCTGATGCAACCAATTACCTTCAAAAGTCACATAATTAGTCAAATAAAGTCCACCTGTGTGCAATCTAAATGTCACATTATCTCAGTATATATACACATGTTCTGAAAGGCCCCAGAGTCTGCAAAACCACTAAGCAAGGGGCATCACCAAGCAAGCGGCACCATGTAGACCAAGGAGCTCTCCAAACAGGTCAGGGACAAAGTTGTGGAGAAGTACAGATCAGGGTTGGGTTACAAAAAAAATTACGAAACATCCCACGGAGCACCATTAAATCCATTATGAAAACATTTAAAGAATATGGCACCACAACAAACCTGCCAAGAGAGGGCCGCCCACCAAAACTCACGGACCAGGCAAGGAGGGCATTAATCAGAGAGGCAATAAAGAGACCAAAGATAACCCTGAAGGAGCTGCAAAGCTCCACAGGGGAGATAGGACCACTTTAAGCCGTACACTCCACAGAGCTGAGCTTTATGGAAGAGTTGCCAGAAAAAAGCCATTGCTTAAAGAACAAAATAAGCCAAAGGCCATGTGGGAGACTCCCTAAACATATGGAAGAAGGTACTCTGGTCAGATGAGACTAAAATTGAGCTTTTTGGCCATCAAGGAAAACGCTATGTCTGGTGCAAACCCAACACCTCTTATCACCCCAAGAACACCATCCCCACAGTGAAGCATGGTGGTGGCAGCATCATGATGTGGGGATGTTTTTCATCGGCAGGGACTGGGAAACTGGTCAGAATTTAAGGAATGATGGATGGCGCTAAATACAGGGAAATTATTGAGGTTCACCGTCCAGCAGGACAATGACCCTAAGCATACTGCTAAAGCAACACTCGAGTGGTTTAAGGGGAAACATTTAAATATCTTGGAATGGCCTAGTCAAAGCCCAGACCTCAATCCAATTGAGAATCTGTGGTATGACTTAAAGATTGCTGTACACTAGCGGAACCCATCCAACTTGAAGGAGCTGGAGCAGTTTTGCCTTGAAGAATGGACAAAAATTCCAGTGGGTAGATGTGCCAAGCTTATAGAGACATACCCCAAGAGACTTGCAGCTGTAATTGCTGCAAAAGGTGGCTCTACAAAGTATTGACTTTGAGGGGATGAATAGTTATGCACGCTCAAGTTTTCTGTATTTCTGTCTTATTTGTTGTTTTTTTCACAAAAATACATTTTGCATCTTCAAAGTGGTAGGCATGTTATGTAAATCAAATGATACAAACCCCCCAAAAAATCCATTTGAATTCCAGGTTGTAAGGCAACAAAATAGGAAAAATGCCAAGGGGGGTGAATACTTTCGCAAGCCACTGTATCTTGTCTCTCTCTAGTCAGCAGGAAGCAGATTGTGCAGTCAACCTTTCTACCTGTTCTTGATTATGGTGATACTATTTATCAAAGTGCAGCTGCCTCTACTCTTAAACCCCTGGATGCCGTTTTTCATAGCGCCCTTTGTTTTATCACAGGAGACAGTTGTATTACTCATCACAGTGTTCTTTAACAAAAGGTTGGCTGGACCTTTTTTCTTTTTCTCTCTCTTTCTCACGTAGATCACATCATTATGCTCTTTTTTGTTTACAAAGCCCTGCTCCACAAGCTTCCGACTTACCTAACTTCACTGTTAAGATGTAAAATTACAAGTTATCAAACTCGTTCACAGGGTTGGTTAACTATGGAGACTCCTTAGGTGTCTAAATAGTTAGGTAAGTCAGCCTGTAGTTGTCTTGCTCCACAATGTTTGGATCTCCGAAATACATTTAGAATAGATAGTGTCCATAGGGAAGTTCAGGCAGCGGACAGAGGATTTTTATAATGAAGAATGTGTGTTTTAGTTGACTGTGTTTTGTGTATTTTATTTGTTTTCTATTGGATTGGATTTTTGATGTATTTTATGAAATGTTATATGCAGGGCTCCCTTGTAAGAGACACTTGTCTCAATGGTGACTCCCTGATTAAATAAAGGTAAATAAAAATTGACAACAACGCCAAGCCATTTCTTAAAACTGAAGCCAACATCATGTTCATAATGTATGCCAATGCAGTGATAATGTGATTTGTTTCCTGGCTTTTTTAGACAACCTACTTTGTCTTGTGTACAAAAATGGCATCGGTGACATGACAAGCATGTAATTGCACTGTCACAATATGGCAGGGCGTCGGAGAGCAGCCATTTAACCTACTCTTATAAGGAAAACAAGTTCAGGATCAAGAGAACATGTACTCGCGCGTGCGCGCGCACAAACACACACGTTCTTTCCCCAGCAGCATGTTCAGCGAGCTCAGACTCTCAACCCAACCACGCTGAAAACAGAATCAGACAAACTAACGGAGGAAGAGGGGGTGAGAGCCCAGAGGATAAAAGCACATGAGAGGGAAAACTTCAGTCCAAAGCGGGAGAAGTGACAACATAAAAGACACGTCAAGTTGCCACAGAAGAGCCTTTGATTAGCAATGACAGAGCCTTTTCAAACGACCGTCCTGACAGCGTCTCATTTTGCGAGAAACAAAGGAGTCGGATCTTATCAAAAATAACATTCCATTGAATTCAAATGCAGCCATGATGGTTACATCATAAAAGCCACCTCCACAGAGGTACAGTACAGTACTTTGAAGTAAAGTCACTGTTGAAGAATATAATATGGCGTATAGAAGTTGTACATTCAATGGGCTGTCATGACAAACATTCCTGCCAGGCAAAGGTTTGGACACCCCCTTTCCTGGGGGCCAGTTTTATGACCTAACAGCCGGTTACAAATAGTTTGCAGAAAAGGACTCCTTTTGGTCTCTAGTATGGGAAGAAAGAATTGCCCTGTGAGACAAAGGAAGTCTTCCCACCAAGACTCCAACATCCAAAAGTGGATAATGAAACAAAATTCCTGCTTAAAAGAATGTGGGAAATGGTCATTGGGGATCTAAAGAAGCTTGATGTCATATTGTTTATTATTTTGTGATGTCATTAAGGATGGTATCAAGTAACAACTGTAACTCGGAAAGTGTACATATTCTATCTATCAAGTTTACATCTAAATGTTGTATAAAATATATGATTAAGTATGAGAGTATTTTGGTGAAGATAGGAATGTGATTTTAGTCTTTAATGAGATAATAGTTTTTCATATAAACTATGCATTGTGACTAGCCACGCCCCGAGTGACATCAGAGATTGTGTAAACATGATGGAACGTCCCTTTTACAGATCTGTCACAGAGCCAGTGAACCTTCCCAAGTTCTCTCATGTCACCCCGCTCCTCCGCACACTCCACTGGCTTCCAGTTGAAGCTCGCATCTACTACAAAACCATGGTGCTTGCCTACGGAGCTGTGAGGGGAACGGCAACTCCTTACCTTCAGGCTCTGAACAGACCCTACACCCAAACGAGGGCACTACGTTGATCCACCTCTGGCCTGCTAGCCCCTCTACCTCTACGGAAGCACAGTTCCCGCTCAGCCCAGTCAAAGCTATTCGCTGCTCTGGCACCCCAATGGTGGAACAAGCTCCCCCACGACGCCAGGACAGCGGAGTCACTGACCACCTTCCGGAGACACTTGAAACCCTACCTCTTTAAGGAATACCTGGAATAGTATAACAGTAATCCTTCTACCCCCACCCTCCCCACCCCCCCATAAAAAGAAGAAGAAAAGGAGTGGTTGTCCCACTGGCTATCCTAAATTGAATGCACCAATTTGTAAGTCGCTCTGGATAAGAGCGTCTGCTAAATGACTTAAATGTTAAATGTGAAACTGCCAGTGGCAGACAACTCCAAAGCACATGCACTGAAACAGATCCCCACAATGCCAACACTGCTTGAATATGAGAGATGAATATGTATGGTAACATGTCTGTATGTGTGTAATGTGTGTGTGTGTTTGTGTGTGTGTGTGGCGTTGCTGGATTAAAGTTTTGCAATCTTCTTCATTATTCATGCAACAAAGGGGCCAGTCAACCGAAAACATGACATACTCGAACTCCAGCATTGAGTTACAGCCAGGTGAACCTCCATAGGGTATTACTCATTTAATATGAGTTAGGACAAAAACTGCCTGGAACGATCCAATCAGACAGAGCACCCTCCAGGACCAACAAGATCGTGCCAGAGGCATATTACTGACACTCCATTCTCGTTCGACTGAATTCAACACTCATTATAATATTAATATCTGGATACATATCGAGCTGAGACTGATTGTGACATTGTGGAGCATATTCTCAGAGGCAAAAAAATTACCGATTCCGACAAAAATAACACACGGTCAAAATACACTGCCAAAATTGTCAAAGGTTGTGGTTAAATCACATTTCTCGCCTGTTCACTCTCACACTGATATGGTCACATGGTCCACTTACATTCTGGTGATTCATTCTCACACACACACAAGCAGGCAGACAGATGATGCAATTCATGGCTAAAGCCACACGGTCCAGCAGTTCACTTTCATTATGTCTGTCCATTCTCATAAACAAGTTCCCACAATACATGGCTAGCACCACATGGTCATATGTACCACCACATACAGTGCATTCAGAAAGTATTCACACTCTTAACTTTTTCCACATTTTGTTGTGTTGCAGCCTGAATTTAAAATTGATTAAATTGAGATTTTGTGTCACTGGCCTACAGACAGGTCCCATAACGTCAAAGTGGAATTATGTTTTTAGAAATTGTTACAAATTAATAAAAAAAATTAAAGCTGAAATGTATTGAGTCAATACGTTTTCAACCCCTTTGTTAAGGCAGGAGTACAAATGTGCTTAACAAGTCAACTCAAATCAAATCAAATTGTATTTGTCACGTTTACAACAGGTGTAGACTTTTCCGTGAAATGCTTACTTACAAGCCCTTACCCAACAATGCAGTTTTAAGAAAAATAAGAGTTAAGAATATATTTACTAAATAAACTAAAGTAAAGAATAAATGAGCAACAATAAAATAACAATAACGAGGCTATATACAGGGGGTACCGGTACCGAATCAATGTGCGGAGGTACAGGTTAGTCGAGGTAATTGAGGTAATATGTACATGTAGGTAGGGGTAAAGTGACTATACATAGATAATAAACAGCGAATAGCATTGAATATCCCTTTGAGCATGGGGGAAGTTATTAATTATACTTTGGATGGTGTATCAATACAACCAGTCACTACAAAGATACAGGTGTCCTTCCTAACTCAGGAAGGAAACCACTCAGGGATTCCACCAAGAGGCCAATGGTGACTTTAAAACAGTTACAGAGTTTAATGGCTGTGATAGGAGAACACTGAGGATGGATCAACAACATTGTAGTTACTCCACAATACTAACTTAATTGATGGAGTGAAAAGAAGGAAGCCTGTACAGAATAAAAATATTCCAAAACATGCAACAAGGAACTAAAGTAATACTGCAAAAAATGTGGCAAAGTAATTCACTTTACAAAGTGTTATGTTTGGGGCAAATCCAATACAACACATTACTTAATTCCACTCTCCATATTTTCAAGCATAGTGATGGCTGCATCAGTTTATGGGTATACTTGTAATCGTTAAGGACTGGGGAGTTTTTCAGGATAAAATAGAAACAGAATGGAGATAAGCACAGGCAAAATGCTAGAGGAAAACCTGGTTCAGTCTGCTTTCCACCAGACACTGGGCGAATAATTCACCTTTGAGCAGGACAATAACCTAAAACACAATCTACACTAGAGTTGCTTACCAAGAAGACAGTGAATATTCCTGAGTGGCCGAGTTACAGTTTTGACTGGAATCGAACCAGGGTCTGTAGTGATGCCTCTAGCACTGAGATGCAGTGCCTTAGACCGCTGCGCCACTCTGGAGCTCCGATTACAGTAAATTGAACTGCATTGCCCACTAGCAGTCATACACAGAACAAAATCTGAATTGTGAACTCACGTCATTTTATGTTTGTTTTTAAAACATTAGAAAAAATATATATGGCAGTTTAAAAGTTAAGATATTTTTTTACATTTGTCACATCCCTAATGGCTACCACCACAGGGTCACATGCATTCTGCTCGCTCACACTCACAGACAAAAAAGGCAGACTAACAAACTGATACAGAAATTCCCACAAACACGAACACGGTTAGGGAACGGTCAAGACTTACATTCTGCTTGCCCACGATGTTGTCGAAGGGCAGCTCGGGACTCCAGGAGCCCTGGTTGAAGGTGGCGCTGCTGACACGTCGGTCGGTGTTGGTCGCCTCCTTCATGATGTCCTCGGGCAGCGTGAGCAGGCTCTCCTCGGGCTGCTTGATCAGGTACGTCTCGATGTTGTGGCGGCGCAAGAATTCGTTGCGTTCCTTGCCATGGCCCTCCTCTACCTCGTAGTCACCATTCAGACAGTCCAGGGACGCCTTGGAGATGTGGATTCGTCTGAGGACGAGGTTTTCATTAGATGGCCAGGTCACACTTTATTTTGATATGGTCTATGCTGCTCAAACTGTCAACAAACTATCAACTGAACATCTGTTGATATGCAATTGCTTGCAAGGGTCACAGTTAGGGTGAAGGTAAGGGTAAAGGTTAGGGCTAGGATACGTTTATAGGGTTAGGATAAGGGTTAGGGCTAAGGTTAGGGTTAGGGTTAGTGGATAGTTACTGTACATTTTGTTGACAGTTAGTTGAACATCTACTGAACATCTACAAACCATCTATTTGGGACTATCAAAACAATGTGATACCGATGACCATGCTGTAAAGTCACAAATGCCTCTATTGTTACATTTGATGAGCAATTCAATTACATAGGTTGTTATCAATAAACGTAACAGTAAGGTCCAGAATGTTCGAATTGCCTGCTGGAGGCAAGGAAAACACACAGCGTTTTCAAGGGAAATACATTTAACCATTATTTGGTTGTAAAATGATCAGCTCCTGAACAATACAGTCAAAACTACTAATTTCCAATTATTCCATTCAGATATCTTTAAGTTGTCACTGTATTAGACTAAGCATAGGTGATTAGATTACTTTAAAATGTTGAACTTTAAATGGTGCTGGAATAGCAGAGGCAGATTCTGTTTTCTTTGCCACTTGCAGTAACTCTCTGTGGTTCCAAATCAATAGTTGTTTAGCAGTCCGAAAATGTCAGAAACATTAACTTGCTTGACCATGCTGTAGGTCATTTAACTGTTTGTTACATGAAATATGCTTTGTGGACTCCGGTTTTGCGATGAATTTATTCTGCCACTATGTGTCTGTTGTCTTCTTGTTGTCTCGGCCTTATATATGATGGTGGCATATGAACTAACGGGTTATAGCTAAAAAGCCTGGCTTGGCTTCCCCATTGATTTTCCCCACGCATCACTACTGGGTTTGATCTAGAATGCTGTTTTCTAGAATGCAGTAGCAAACAATGTTTAACCTAATAGACAGATCAACTACAGGCCCTCACCTAAGAGTCTAAAGCCATATAACCATTTATCTAACCACTCCCCCTTTTGCATTTTGGATTTATTCCTGTATCTCCGCAGTGCAACGATACATAGTATATTTTACACATACATTTTCTCCCCACTGAAGAATAATCCCCATTATAAGCATATTACGCAATTGAATTACATTAAGCGCAGAGGAAGGGGCAGGATCATAACCCACTGTCATCATAAAGTCCATTAGCAGATGTTGGCTGAAGCTTTAGGTTCAACAATGAAAAGGTTGGCCGCATCACATTTCCTTGAGGTGAGGAGCAAAATGTCACAATATAACCCTCGGCTTGACTTCCCCTTTAAATTGTAGATTTGATCAAACCCCCCATGTCACCCAAAGCCAATCACATCCAATGTCCCTTTGTTTGTAAACCAATCACGGTAAAAGTATTTCTAAAGGGTGATTTGGCACATGGATTTCATCCCCACTGTAGGACGTTCATTTGCTGATGGACTTTCTCAGAGGTTGGGATAAGCGCACACTGCAGGGTATTCCCTCGAGGCCGGCCAAAAGGGATGTACTGTACAGAGTATTCGCAGAAAAAGGTTACCTGGTATTTAACATGAAATAACTTGGTAAAAAATTATACTTTGGACTCATACTGAACCCCCCCCCCCCCCCACACACACACACACACACACACAATATGATACAGGCCTAATACATCGTCGGACAATAGGCAGCAGAGACTTTGAATATGTGAACATTTTAATGTGTGACTTGTGTACTAACTTTACAGTTTTCCGTACTGCATGTAATATATGTGTTGTGTTTGTGTATTTGTATGTTGATTTCACAAAATGAATTTATGTAAATGGACAATAACGTATATTGTATCATATGGAATTATAGAGAGAAACTCCTTTTGTAGGCCATTCTCTTCTGTGGTCATGGAATGGCTGATGTCTATGGAAGTGTATAGCTATCGAAATTCAATTTAAAATGCAAATTTGATATAATACTTTCATAGTTGTCAACTCACCCAGGGATCCCCCCTGACTCCAGCTTGTTGGCGATGTCCACGTCCCACGACCACACATCAAACTGCCACTTCCTCAGTCCCAGCACCCCACACAGGACCGAGCCCGAATGGATCCCGATTCGCATGTCGATGTCATGCTTTGTGCGTGATCTTACATATCTAGAGGGGGGAAATAAACAATATGGTATCTATTTATTTGTGTACCTTCTTTACTGTTAACTTTTCCAGTAGACTATAAAGACAGTATTATCCTATATAATCAAATCACAACTGATTCAGAGGTGCATTTAACAAAGTCACAACACACTTTACAGAAAAACAACAAACTGCAAAACTATTTATCTCTGATCTTTTTAATTGTGTTGTGGGTAAATTTCCTGTATTTAGCATGTATATATATTTTTTGCAAACAATTTGATTTAGCACAATGACTGACTGAAACTATATTATTTCAAATGAACAATGGAAAAAATAAGATAATTCATTCAGCGTTCCAAAATTCACCAAGAAATAGTCCCATTTTATGTTGTATACATTAATCTGGTGATAAAACTGAATAAAGTCAACAATAACACAGTCAACTTGTCCAGCATTATCTTACATTCTAATATCTTTGTTTATTATTTAATACGCCATATAATTGTACATTAATGCATTACTAATATTTACAGTTTCCACCACAGGGTAAAAATAACAATATATATTTCCAAACAATTCCAATCTGGCAAGTCTCATTTCATCAAATTTCATGCCTAATAATAACTATGATGAATGTGAGCTGACAGGCGATCAAGAAGATTCAGCCCAGGTGCATAAAGTCAATAGGTTTCGAAGGTCAGCCTGCCATAGACACTGATGAAATTGTTGCAGCTGTGGCTGCTGACAGAGTTTGAAAATGCTTGGGTGTGCGTCCCAAATGGCACCCTATTCCCTATACAGTGCACTACTTTTGACCAGAGCCCTATGTAGGGAATAGGGTGCCAATTGGGACGCAGCCTTGGTGAAAGTGGGCCACTTAACAGTGTCACCACAGTGGCACTGATGCTGCAGTAAAGGGGCCATTAGCCAAGAGGCTCTTAGCAGGCGACCTGCCTCTTGTTGGCTCTCCATTCTATAAAAGGACGGTTGGCTGATTCATTCTAGTTGCTAAGCTCACTCTCAAACACACACACACACACACACGGACACACGCACACACATGCGGACACATACTGTACACACACGTGCATATCTCCCTCTCCATTTCTTTCTTTCCTCTCTCTCGCTCTCTCTGACAACCGGAAACTAATAACATCAACAAGTATGGCCTGAAAGAAGCACAGCCTAACTGTAGAAAGGCCTAAAAGTGGGGATTTTTTAAAACCTGATTGTCTTAATCATGCTGAGGCCCATCTCTACACAGCAATGAGCGTGGTCCTGTCGAGGTTCAGGAAGACCGGACACACAGTAGTAGCAGTCTCCCAAGATCTTAATCCTCAGACAATGGTGCTCCTAGAAGAGAGAGAGAGATAGACAGACAGACAATGGGGTTAGACTAGAATCCATGGGAAACTCAGAATGATCTTGATTTGATCAATACCTCTTGCTCACTGAGAATGCATGAATTATCATAGAATCGTACATGATTCTATGATAATGCATGCATTTGTTCACGGCAATGAGCATGTTGTTTTGTCTTGCACCAGAAATGTCTGGACAACAATTTTGACTTTATAATAAAGAGACATTATAAGCCATGCAGACTCTGTGCGTCATGCACAAGGACATTGACTCAATTCTGAATTCATGTCCTGAATTAAGTTAAAATAACAAAGGCATTCACGTAAACATTACGCTTGGCCATTAAGCTGCACTCTATCTGACCTGCTTTTCAATCCAGTCATTGGACTTAATTACAGGTATTACCTTTTGAAAGCATAGCATGTTCCATTAAAAAGCTTTCTACACTGTATTTTTATCATTAATGACAGCTCTGAAGCTGGAAAATTAAACCTTAGCCAGAAGTGCAAAACCTATTTCTATAATTGCATAGAACCGTACCTGCAAGGCTGTCATTAATTCATGCTATACATATAAATTGGAACCCGAGAGTATTCCTTCATTTGCATTCTACTGCATATGCATAAAGTAAACTCACATGGGCTAGACGGTCGAAGCGTGCAAAGAGCTCGTTCAACATCCGCACCAACTCTTGTGCCGATAGCGTCGTCGAGAGGTTTGTGAATCCTTTAACGTCTGCGAAAAGAATGCTGTAGAATATATGGAGAAGTCACATTAATGTCACCATTACACTTCAACATCTACAGACAATTTAGTGAGAAAATAGTCAACAGGTTACAGGTTTTCATTTTTTTAAAATCCAGATCAAAATAATCCATATTCTGTTCCCCAGATGTGGTCCCTACTTGCTTTTGGATAAAACTTTAAGACAAATCTAAATGGAATCTCTGCCTCTCCCTACCTCTAGGCTATGCTCAAACCCTACACCCCAACCTGAGTACTCCGTTCTGCCACCTCTGGTCTCTTGGCCCTCCCACCCTTACAGTGAGGGAAAAAAGTATTTGATCCCCTGCTGATTTTGTTCGTTTGCCCACTGACAAAGAAATGATCAGTCTATAATTTTAATGGTAGGTTTATTTCAACAGTGAGAGACAGAATAACAACAAAAAAATCCAGAAAAACGCATGTCAAAAATGTTATACATTGATTTCCATTTTTATGAGGGAAATAAGTATTTGACCCCCTCTCAATCAGAAAGATTTCTGACTCCCAGGTGTCTTTTATACAGGTAACGAGCTGAGATTAGGAGCACACTCTTAAGGGGACTGCTCCGAATCTCAGTTTGTTACCTGTATAAAAGTCACCTGTCCACAGAAGCAATCAATCAATCAGATTCCAAACTCTCCACCATGGCCAAGACCAAAGAGCTCTTCAAGGATGTCAGGGACAAGAATGTAGACCTACACAAGGCTGGAATGGGCTACAAGACCATCGCCTAGCAGCTTGGTGAGAAGGTGACTACAGTTGGTGCGATTATTTGCAAATGGAAGAAACACAAAATAACTGTCAATCTCCCTCGGCCTGGGGCTCCATGCAAGATCTCACCTCGTGGAGTTGCAATGATCATGAGAACGGTAAGGAATCAGCCCAGAACTACACGGGAGGATCTTGTCAATGATCTCAAGGCAGCTGGGACCATAGTCACCAAGAAAACAATTGGTAACACACTACGCCGTGAAGGACTGAAATCCTGCAGCGCCCACAAGGTACCCCTGCTCAAGAAAGCACATATACAGGCCCGTCTGAAGTTTGCCAATGAACATCTGAATGATTCAGAGGAGAACTAGGTGAAAGTGTTGTGGTCAGATGAGACCAAAATCGAGCTCTGTGGCATCAACTCAACTCGCTGTGTTTGGAGGAGGAGGAATGCTGCCTATCACCCCAACAACACCATCCCCACCGTCAAACATGGAGGTGGAAACATTATGCTTTGGGGGTGTTTTTCTACTAAGGGGACAGGACAACTTCACCGCATAAAAGGGACGATGGACAGGGCCATGTACCGTCAAATCTTGGGTGAGAACCTCCTTCCCTCAGCCAGGGCATTGAAAATGGGTCGTGGATGGGTATTCCAGCATGACAATGACCCAAAACACACGGCCAAGGCAACAAAGGAGTGGCTCAAGAAGAAGCACATTAAGGTCCTGGAGTGGCCTAGCCAGTCTCCAGACCTTAATCCCATAGAAAATCTGTGGAGGGAGCTGAAGGTTCGAGTTGCCAAACATCAGGCTCGAAACCTTAATGACTTGGAGAAGATCTGCAAAGAGGAGTGGGACAAATCCCTCCTGAGATGTGTGCAAACCTTGTGGCCAACTACAAGAAACGTCTGACCTCTGTGATTGCCAACAAGGGTTTTTGCCACCAAGTACTAAGTCATGTTTTGCAGAGGGGTCAAATAGTTATTTCCCTCATTAAAATGCAAATCAATTTATAACATTTTTGACATGCGTTTTTCTGGATTTTTTTGTTGTTATTCTGTCTCTCACTGTTCAAATAAACCTACCATTAAAATGATAGACTGATCATGTCTTTGTCAGTGGGCAAATGTACAAAATCAGCAGGGGATCAAATACTTTTTTCCCTCACTGTATGGGAGAGCAGCTCCCGCTCAACCAAGTAAAAAGCTCTTCTCTGTCCTGGCACCCCAATGGTGGAGCCAGTTTCCCCCTGAAGCTAGGACAGCAGAGTCCCTGCCCATCTTCCGAAAATATCTAAAACTCTACCTCTTCATAGAGTATTTTAAATAATCCCAAAGTACCCCCCCCCCCCCCCCCCCCCGCACCACCTCCTCACCCCTCCCCCGTAAAAAATAATACATATTTATGCCTTTGTCACACTCTGGCTCCAGGACTTGTGTATTTGAGCCAGGGTGTATGTTGTTTTGTTGGGTTTTGGGTGATGTTTTATGGTTGCATGTCTGTCACGTTTATTTCTAGGTGGGGAGTTCTGTTGTGTCTATTTCTAGGTTGTGGTTGTGTTTCCTTGTTTGTATTCAATGACTCCCAATCGGAGGTAACGAGTGTCAGCTGTCGGCTCGTTATCTCTGATTGGGAGCCATATTTAAGATGTAGGTTTTCTTGTGTTAGTTGTGGGTTTTTGTTCTATGTTCAGTCGGTGTACTGAGGACGTTACGGATCGTGTTTTGTTTTGTCGTTATTTCAACATTAAAGTCATCATGTTCACTCCCAACGCTGCGCTTTGGTCCTACTTTATTGGCGATCGTGACAGAAAAACCCACCACAACGAGACCAAGCAGCAGTTGGATAACGGGTGGTGGAGCCAGAAGAGTGAAGGTTGGGAGAGGACTATGGAGGCCTGGTCCACCGAGAGGAGAGACCCCCAGAAAATTTTTAGGGGGGGGCTCACGACGTCGGGGCAGAAGGTGTACGGCCCGGAGGAGTGCAAGAGGTTGGCAGATATGGCCGCCAGTTTAAGGGGGCCACTGGTTACGAAGGGGATGGAAAGTGTGGAGGCACGGCGAGAGGTACTGGGGGGTGTTTCCAGTCCGGTCCGGCCCGTTCCTGATCCCCGTGTAGGGCCAGGGGTGTGTGTCCCCAGTGCGGTTCTGCCTGTCCCTGCTCAACGCCCCGAGCCTACGGGGTGCGTCGTCAGCCCTGTCCAGCCAGAGCCGTCCGCCAGACAGGATCAGCCAGAGCCTTCCGCCAGACGGGATCAGCCAGAGCCTTCCGCCAGACAGGATCAGCCAGAGCCTTCTGCCAGACAGGATCAGCCAGAGCCTTCCGCCAGCCAGGATCCGCCAGAGCCGTCCAGCCATGAGCAGCCAGATCCGTCAGCCGGCCATGAGCAGCCAGATCCGTCAGCCAGCCATGAGCAGCCAGATCCGTCAGCCAGCCATGAGCAGCCAGATCCGTCAGCCAGCCATGAGCAGCCAGATCCGTCAGCCAGCCATGAGCAGCCAGATCCGTCAGCCAGCCATGAGCAGCCAGATCCGTCAGCCAGCCATGAGCAGCCAGATCCATCAGCCAGCCATGAGCCGTCCAGCCAGGATCCGCCAGAGCCGTCCAGCCAGGATCCGCCAGAGCCGTCCAGCCAGGATCCGCCAGAGCCGTCCAGCCGGGATCCGCCAGAGCTGTCCAGCCGGGATCCGCCAGAGCCGTCCAGCCGGGATCCGCCAGAGCCGTCCAGCCGGGATCCGCCAGAGCCGTCCAGCCGGGATCCGCCAGAGCCGTCCAGCCAGGATCCGCCAGAGCCGACCAGCCAGGAGCCACCAGAGCCGTCCAGCCAGTATCCGCCATTCAGCCTGGTACTGCCCCTTAGTCCGGTACTGCCCCTTAGTCCGGTACTTCCCCGTAGTCCGGTGCTGCCCCTTAGTCCGGTGCCGCCCCTTAACCCAGTGGGGTGTAGTTGGGGGGTGGTAATGTGGAGGAGGCTAGGGAAGCGGGTGGTGACTAAGGTGGGATGGGGACCACGACCAGGGGCAGAACCGCCACCATGGACAGACGCCCACCCAGACCCTCCCCTAGACTGTATGCTGGTGCGCCCGGAGTTCGCACCTTTAGGGGGGGGTACTGTCACACTCTGGCTCCAGGACTTGTGTATTTGAGCCAGGGTGTATGTTGTTTTGTTGGGTTTTGGGTGATGTTTTATGGTTGCATGTCTGTCACGTTTATTTCTAGGTGGGGAGTTCTGTTGTGTCTATTTCTAGGTTGTGGTTGTGTTTCCTTGTTTGTATTCAATGACTCCCAATCGGAGGTAACGAGTGTCAGCTGTCGGCTCGTTATCTCTGATTGGGAGCCATATTTAAGATGTAGGTTTTCTTGTGTTAGTTGTGGGTTTTTGTTCTATGTTCAGTCGGTGTACTGAGGACGTTACGGATCGTGTTTTGTTTTGTCGTTATTTCAACATTAAAGTCATCATGTTCACTCCCAACGCTGCGCTTTGGTCCTACTTTATTGGCGATCGTGACAGCCTTTCATGAACTAACACTCACACTTGACTTTTTCCCCCCCAGCACTGACTTTGCTGATAGCTACTTTATTGAGGAAAAATGTACTTACTATGACTGATTGCATTAACTGTAAGTCGCTCTGGATAAGAGCGTCTGCTAAATGACTAAAATGTAAATGTAAATGATACCACATTATAAACTACAACCAAGATCACATTTATATGATACCATGTTTATATGATTGATAGGGTTGAGATATTACCTTTCTGCTTCTATTAAAAAATGAAGGGGGACTAAATCTAACATGGTAACATAATTGAGACAACACATGAGCATTTTGACCTGGATTAAAGTGGAACTGACAGCATTTTAACTATACTGAACAAAAATATAAACACAACAGGTAAAATGTTGATCCCATGTTTCATGAGCTGAAATACATTTTCAATATGCACAAAAAGCTTATTTCTCTCAAATGTTGTTCACAAATTTGTTTACATCCCTGTTAGAAAGCATTTTTGCCTTTGCCAAGATAATCCATCCACCTGACAGGTGAGGCATATCAAGAAGCTGATTAAAGAGCATGATCATTACACAGGTGTACCTTGTGCTGGGGACAATAAAAGGCCACTAAAATGTGCAGTTTTGTCACACAACACAATGCCACAGATGTTTCAAGTTTTGAGGGAGTGTGCAGTTGACATGCTGACCGCAGGAATGTCCACCAGAGCTGTTGCCAGAGAATTGAATGTTAATTTCTCTACCATAAGCCGCCGTCAACGTCGTTTTAGCGTAACCACGCCAGCCCAGGACCTCCACATCCGGCTTCTTTACCTGCAGGATCGTCTGAGACCAGCCAACCGGACAGCTGATGAAACTGTGGGTTTGCACAACCAAATAATTTATTGTCAAACTGTCAGAAACCGTCTCAGGGAAGCTCATCTGCGTGCTCGTCGTCCTCACCAGGGTCTTGATCTGACTGCAGTTTGGCGTCGTAAACGATTTCAGTGTGCAAATGCTCTCCTGCGATGGCCACTGGCATGCTGGAGAAGTGGGTTCTTCATGGAGGAATCACGGTTTCAACTGTGCCGGGCAGATGGCAGACAGGGTATGACAGACAGTATGGCATTGTGTGGGCAAGTGGTTAGTTGATGTCAACGTTGTGAACAGAGTGCCGCATGGTGGCAGTGGGGTTATGGTATGGGCAGGCATAAGCTACGGACAACGAACACAATTACATTTTATCGATGGCAATTTGAATGCACAGAGATACCGTGAAGAGTGTTTTTATTTCAATTGACTGATTTCCTTATATGAACTGTAACTCAGTAAAATCTTGAAATTGTTGCATGTTGCGTTTATATATATTTTGGTGTACTTTGCAGATATGAAAAAAATAGACAATCATATCAGTCAAAAATTCTCAACTTTATAAGAGGTTTTAAAAATAGGTTATATTTGACTCAAAATTCCATGACGTACAGTAAGGCATTCTTGGCAGAATAGATGGATGCATTTCAAAATGGACGACTGTAACTAAGGCTGGAAATGTCAATACAATCAAAGTAGCATGGGCAATGAACACAAGGTAGTCGTAACGTGGCTAATAGGCTAGCGCACGTGTCAAACACAAGGCTCGCGGGCCGAATAGGACACACAAGCAAGTATAAATGAGTCAACAGTTGAGTCATCTACTTTATGACATTACAGCCTGATGCGCTTGCATCGATGAATTCAACTTCAATTGCGCTGCTTTTGTGTGTCCCGTTTACAACGCGCAGCGGAGGGAAAGTGTACAGATGCATGCCACAGTCCTAACTAGGCTGCTAAAATGTTGTAGTCTGGCTACGGGTTTTAAAGCTTGACAATGAATAACCATAAAACAAAACACCATGCAAAGGAAAAACATGTAGGCCTATTATAGCAACATTTGAGCAGTAGTCTACTGTACATTTTGAGTGCACCACACAGCAATGCTGCATTCAACTGCACTGGTGATCCATGCAGTGCAAAAAAAAATGAAAAACTTGTTTTAAGTTTAAATGTTACAACAACCTTTAGTTACATTTTTGTTATTTGGAGTTATTAAAAACTTTCTGAGTAGGGTCGCATCGTCTATGCACATCTGCAAGCATAGCAGCAAAGGCTGGACAAATATTATTTTAGTTTTAATATGTTAAAATGCTATATACAGCATCCTATGTACATAAGTGGACATAAATGAACTTCAAATAAATAATGGCCAGTTTGGGTTGCAGTTGCAAGTTATTCTTATAAAAACAAATCAAATGTCTGGTCCGCAAATTCGTTGTGTTTTTTCAATATGGCCCGTGTGCTGATTAAGTTTGACACCACTGGGCTAGCGTATCTATTTATGTAGCTAGCTATTTATTTAGCAAGCTAAAAACACAGAGCCTAACGTTAGCTAGTTAGCTAGCTGCTGGAAGGATGTCATGTCATTGGAGGAGTGGGTGAGTGACCGACTTTTCCCCCTCATATCGTTTTTAGATGGCTACAGCTAGAGATGCTTGAACGACTGTTATCCACATTTAGCATAACTCTTAGTTGTCAATGAAATGTATTTTAGGCGGACAGGAAGGCAATTTCCCATTTAGTTGTCAAAACGTGGGTTAGGACAAGTATGCATTGGCAGGCTAGCTGCAGAAGGACGAGCAGGCTACTATTCCCCATTGTTTATCAGTGCAATTTTTACTGCCAACTAGCTAAAAAAGTTTGAGAGTGTTTATCTAATGTTCCCTCATTAGATTTTAGCTCATCTCGCTCTGGCTAGCATTAGTTGTTGATGTTATTGTTGTTGAAGTGCATAGGCAACTGAACTGAGGGAGAAATAGCCTACCTTTTCATAGTTGTTTGATCAATAGGACTATGAAGTTCCAAAATGTAAGAGGACTCCCATGGTATTTACATATTTGCAGAAATCCATTCAGGCGTACTTTGTGGCTTTTAGCGAGTGCATTCTAATAATCTAAAGTCGCACTGTTGCTACTGACTGTAAACAAGCAATCCAGTTCAAAGTGAATGATAGCAGGCCTGTGTGGCAAATGGCTTATTTGCATATAGGCCTACTGTAGCTCTGATTGGCTATGGCACACCGGTCTGCGTAGACTCCAGTCCTGGACAAGACAGATGTTTTTATTAGGTTTTATTTACTGCAGTGTCTATTAATTATCCAAACACATGGCCGCTTTCCCACTGTATATTGCTATAGAATTTTCACAAATGCCTTATTATACTTCATTCACAACAATTCTATGAATTCATGAAAATGTGAAAATGACCATATCTAAGTGCTCGCTTACACCTGGGGGTGTATATAAACAGATTCTAATAAGATGTAATGTTGCTAAAACGCTGTCGGTTCCACTTTAAATCATTTGACAAAGTCAGGGCCCAGAGCATTTAAGATTCACACACAGACAAGGTCCAAAACTATAAGGAAATAATTTTCTTCCTTAAGTATAAAATGTGTTATTGATACACATGCGACAATGTTGTACTCTTACCATGAAGTAACCTGGTGATATTAGGGTGGTTGGTTAATCATAACTCTATTTGTATTTACAACTGTTGTTCTGGACATGAGCAGAAGGCGTAGACCTTACAATGTTCAAAACCTTACCATTCATTATTATCGTTTATGTTAGAGTTTTGGCAATGAGATTCTGCAGTTCTCCAAAATTATGTCCTTATTTAATGGCATCTATTTCTACGTAAATTGTGAGTGAAAGTTTCAAGTTTTAATGTCACATGCACAAGTTCTGAGAAATGCCATTCTTGCAAGCTCCCAACCCAACAATGCAGTAATCAATATCAATGTAGCACTACAAATAACGTAAGGTAGAGCAAAAATGAGAAATAAAATTAAGAAATAAGAAGAACAAGAGAAAGTAAGAAGCTATAGTTCAGTTCCAATACCATATTTACAATGTGCAGGGATACTGGAATGATAGATGTAGATACTGTACAGTGCCTTCAGAAAGTATTCACACCCCTTGACTTTTTTGTTACAGCCTGTATTTAAAATGGATTAAATTGAGATTTTTTTGTCACTGACCTACAAAGTGTTATTTTGTGGACAAATCCAATACAACACATTAATGAGTACAACTCTCCATATTTTCAAGCATAGTGGTGGCTGCATCATGTTATGGGTATGCTTGTAATCTTGTAAACTGGGGAGTGTTTTAGGATAAAAACGAAACGGAATGGAGCTAAGCACAGGCAAAATTCTATAGGAAAACCTGGTTTAGTCTGCATTCCACCAGACACTGGGAGATGAATTCACACTTCAGCAGGACAATAACCTAAAACATAAGGCCAAATCTACCTTGGAGTTGCTTACCAAGAAGACAGTGAATGTTCCTGAGTGGCCGAGTTACAGTTTTGACTTAAATCTGCTTAAAAATCTATGGCATGACTTGAAAATGGTTATCTGTGTCAGTGTGTGTGAGTGTGTAGAGTCATGTGAGTGTGCATACACCGTACAAAAATGAAAATGAAGTACAAGGGTCAACTCAGATAGTCCGTGTAGCCATTCTGTTAGCTATTTAACAGTCTTATGGCTTGGGGATAGAAGCTGTTCAGGAGACTGTTGGTGTGAGACTTGATGTACCAGTACCGCTTGTTGTGCGGAAGCAAAGAGAACATGTTGCTTGGGTGGCTATAGTCTTATTTTCCAGGCTTTCTTTTCACACCGCCTGATATAGAGGTCCTGGATGGCAGGGAGCTCGGCCCCAGTGATGTACTGGGCTGTTAGTACCACCCTCTGTAGTGCCATGCGATCGAAGGCAGTGCTATTGCCACACCAAGCAGTGATGCAGCCAGTCAAAATGCTCTCAATGGTGCAGCTGTACAACTTTTTGAGGATTTGAGGGCCCATGCCAAACCTTTTCAACCTCCTGAGGGGGAAAAGGCACTGTCGTTGACCTCCTCCCTGTAGGCTGTCTCATCGTCGCCGGTGATCAGTCCTACCAACTCTGTGTCGTCAGCAAATTTGATGATGGTGTTGGAGTCAGAGAGTACAGGTGGGGACTAACCACACAGCCCTGTGGGGCTCCTGTGTTGAGGGTCAGTGTGGAGGAGGTGATGTTGTCCTACCCACACCACCTGGGGTAGGCCTGTCAGGAAGTCCAGGATCCAGTTGCAGAAGGAGGTGTTCAGTGACAGGATCCTAAATTTGGTGACGATGGTTTTGAACGCTGAGCTGTAGTCAATGAACAGCATTCTCACATAGGTATTCATTTTATCTAGGTGGGTGCAATTGAGATTGCGTCGTCTATGGATCTGATGGGGCGGTTTGCAAAATGAAGACAGAGTTCTTGGGAACAGGAATGACGGTAGTAATCTTAAAACATGTGTGGATTACAGATTGGGACAAGGAGAGGTTGAAAATTACAGTGAATATGACTGCCAGCTGATATGCACATGCTCTGAGAATGCACCATGGAATACCGTCCGGCCCCGCGGCCTTGCTAGTGTTGACATGATTAAAGTCCTCACTCCCGTCGACCTCGGAGAGCGAGATCACCCAGTCCTCTGGGTTGTTGGGGGCCCTCATGCACGGTACGGTGTTGTTATTGTCGAAGCGTGCAGGAAATGCATTGAGTTTGTCTGGAAGAGATGCATCGTTGGGCACATGCGGTGGGCGTCGCAATAACACATTTGAATGAAGATTTTGAAGAAATTAAGTTTGATCCAAAATGGCCTTCTCGTCTGACATTCAATTGTCATCACAGTCCCTAAGGACAGTCTTAGACTTCCACAAGGATGAACCTCTCCAACATAATCCAGATAGAATCAGGAATTCCCAAGGGCAGCTGTCTAGGCCGCTTACTTTTTAAAATCTTTACTAAAGACATGCCACTGGCTTTGAGTAAAGCCAGTGTGTCTATCTATGCGGATGACTCAACACTATACAAATCATCTACTACAGTGACTGAAATGACTGCAACACTTAACAACAGTTAGTTTCAGAATGGGAGGCAAGAAATAAGTTAGTCCTAAATATTTCTAAAACGAAAAGCATTGTATTTGGGACAAATCATTCACTAAACCCTAAACCTCAACTAAATATTTTTAATGAATAATGTGGAAATGGAGCAAGTTGAGGTGACTAAACTGCTTGGAGTAACCCTGGATTGTAAGCCGTCATGGTCAAAACATATTGATACAACAGTAGCTGAGATGGGGAGAAGTCTGTCCATAATAAAGCGCTACTCTGCCTTAACAATACTTTCAACAAGGCAGATCCTACAGGCCCAAGTTTTGTCGCACCTGGACTACTGTTCAGTCGTGTGGTCAGGTGCCACAAAGATGGACTTAGGAAAATTACAATTGGCTCAGAACAGGGCAGCACGGCTGGCCCTTAAAAGTACATGGGGAGCTAACATGGCATAAAGTGGAAGTGAGACGGACTCACTATTTGCTTTTGTAAGAAGTGTTGACTAGCTGAATTTTCCCGTGCTGTCTGTTTAAGCTCGGACACCCATGCATACCCCACAAGACATGACACCAGAGGTCTCTTTACAATCCCCAAGTCCAGAACAGACTATGGGAGGCCCACAGTACTACATAGAGCCATGACTACATGGAACAGCGGGGACTGTGAAGAGACTCACACAAAAGGTACAGCCACATGCAAACACACACAAGCGCTAGAACATGCACTCTACACACACGTACATTGCAATATTGTTCTATGGTGGTATTGTACATTTTGCATTGTAGATACAGTGCCTTGCAAAAATATTCATCCCCCTTGACGTTTTCCTATTTTGTTGCATTACAACCTGTAATTTAAATTGATTTTTATTTGGATTTCATGTAATGGACATACACACAATAGTCCAAATTGGTGAAGTGAATGAAAAAAACGTATTTATACAAAATAAATAACGGAAAAGTTGTGCGTGCAAATGTATTCACCCCCTTTGCTATGAAGACCCTAAATAAGATCTGGTGCAACCAATTACCTTCAGAAGTAACATAATTAGTTAAATAAAGTCCACCTGTGTGCAATCTAAGTGTCACATGATCTCAGTATATATACACATGTTCTGAAAGGCCCCAGAGTCTGCAACACCACTAAGCAAGGAGCACCACCAAGCAAGCGGCACATGAAGACCATGGAGCTCTCCAAACAGGTCAGGGACAAAGTTGTGGAGAAGTACAGATCAGGATTGGGTTATAAAACAATATCCAAAACTTTGAACATCCCACGGAGCACCATTAAATAAATTATAAAAAAATAGAAAGAATATGGCACCACAACAAACCTGCCAAGAGAGGGCCGCACACCAAAACTCACGGACCAGGCATTAATCAGAGAGGCAACAAAGAGACCAAAGATAACCCTGAAGGAGCTGCAAAGTTCCACAGCGGAGATTGGAGTATATGTCCATAGGACCACCTTAAGCTGTATACTCCACAGAGCTGGTCTTTACGGAAGAGTGGCCATAAAAAAGCCATTGCTTAAAGAAAAAAATAAGCAAACACGTTTGGTGTTCGCCAAAAGCCATGTGGGAGACTCCCCAAACATATGGAAGAAGGTACTCTGGTCAGATGAGACTAAAATTGAGCTTTTTGGCTATCAAGGAAAACGCTATGTCTGGTGCAAACCCAACACCTCTCATCACCCAGAGAACAACATCCCCACAGTGAAGCATGTTGGTGGCAGCATCATGCTGTGGGGATGTTTTTCATTGGCAGGGACTGGGAAACTGGTCAGAATTGAAGGAATGATGGATGGCGCTAAATACAGGGAAATTCTTGAGGGAAACCTGTTTCCGTCTTCCAGAGATTTGAGACTGGGACGGAGGTTCACCTTCTAGCAGGACATACTGCTAAAGCAACACTTGAGTGGTTTAAGGGGAAACATTAAAATGTCTTGAAACGGTCTAGTCAAAGCCCAGACCTCAATCCAATTGAGAATCTGTGTTATGACTTAAAGATTGCTGTACACCAGCGGAACCCATCCAACTTGAAGGAGCTGGAGCAGTTTTGCCTTGAAGAATGGGCACAAAACCCAGTGGCTTGATGTGCCAAGGTTATAGAGACATAGCCCAAGAGACTTGCAGCTGTAATTGCTACAAAAGGTGGCTCTACAAAGTATTGACTTTGGGGCGATGAATAGTTATGCACACTCAAGTTCTTTTATTTTACTTTATTTTTTAACTTATTTCTTGTTTGTTTCACAATAAAATATATTTTGCATCTTCAAAGTGGTAGGCATGTTGTGTAAATCAAATGATACAAACCCCCAAAAAATCAATTTTCATTTCCTGGTTGTAAGGCAACAAAATAGGAAAAATGCCAAGGGGGATGAATACTTTTGCTAGCCACTGTATGTAGTGGTGTAATAATGTTTTATGATGTACCGTTTTATCTTTTGTTTTATATGTAATGTAAGTGCCTTAATGTGTTTGGACCCCAGGAAGAGTAGCTGCTACCTTGGCAGCAGCTAATGGGGATCCCTAATAAATACAAAATACAAATACAAAATAGCTTGTTGTATCCCAAGTGGCACACTTTTCCTTAAGAGGTCTAGTCAAAAGTAGGGTACTAAATAGGGAATAGGGTGCCATTTGGGATGCACACCAAAACTCAACCATAATGATGGTTTTACCTATTCCCATAATGTTTAAAAACACAAATTTAAGCCAAAATAGCCACAGCCTTACCTGACATTCTCATAGCGGTGGATATAGATTCTGTGAAACTGGTGCTGGAGGTGCTCGTCATCCACATTTGTCATGTCGTTGATCATCTCCAATACCACAAACCGGGGTAAAACTGACAATACCAGCCTTTCCTGTGAAGAAAAGGAGCATCCTGGTAAATATACGTAGGATTTTTGCATAACTGGGGGGGGGGCTATAAAGTATTTATTTACATTGACTTTTTTTACAAACATTGGAGTAAAACAAGGTTATATTTTGGGTTTTGATAGGGTACAAGAGTTGAACTAAGCTCACGAGGCGTTTATAAATTATATTCTTCAATAATCAATGGGTACATCGAATTCATTTATAAGTAAAAAAACCTGCATCCAAATAAAAAATAAAAAGCATCTAATAGCAACCCGTCTTATAAATGCCATAAGCATGTATGCATTTAAGTATGCGCTCATAAGAAACTATGGGCCTTTAATATACATTACCAGTCAAAAGTTTGGACACACCTACTCATTCAAGGGTTTTTCTTTATTTTTACTATTTTCTACAATGGAGAATAATAGTGAAGACATCAAAACTATGAAATAACACATATGGAATCATGTAGTAACCAAAAAAGTGTTAAACAAATAAAAATATGTTATATTTTAGATTCTTCAAAGTAGCCACCCTTTGCCTTGATGACAGCTTTGCACACTCTTGGCATTCTCTCAAACAGCTTCATGAGGAATGCTTTTCCAACAGTCTTGAAAGAGTTCCCACATATGCTGAGCACTTGTTGGCAGCTTTTCCTTGACTTTGCGGTCCAACTCATCCCAAACCATTTCAATTGGGTTGAGGTCAGGTGATTGTGGAGGCCAGGTCATATGATGCAAAACTCCATCACTCACCTTCTTAGTCAACTAGCCCTTACACAGCCTGGAGGTGTGTTTTGCGTAATTGTCCTGTTGAAAAACAAATGATACTCCCACTAAGTGCAAACCAGATGGGCTGACGTATCACTGCAGAATGCTGTGGTAGCCATGCTGGTTAAATGTCCCTTGAATTCTAAATAAATCACCGACAGTGTCACCAGCAAAGCACCCCCACACCATCACACCTCCTCCTCCATGCTTCATGGTGGGAACCACACATGCGCAGATTATCCGTTCACCTACTCTGCGTCTCATAAAGACACAGCGGTTGGAACCAAAAATCTTAAATTTGGACTCATCAGACCAAAGGACAGATTTCCACCAGTCTAATGTCCATTGCTCGTGTTTCTTGGCCCAAGAAAGTCTCTTCTTATTATTGGTGTCCTTTAGTAGTGGCAATTCGACCATGAAGGCCTTATTCACGCAGTCTCCTCTGAACAGTTGATGTTGAGATGTGTCTGTTACTTGAACTCTGTGAAGCATTTATTTGGGCTGCAATCTGAGGTGCAGTTAACTCTAATGAACTTATCCTCTGCAGCAGAGGTAACTCTGGGTCTTCCTTTCCTGTGGCGGTCCTCATGAGTGCCAGTTTCATCATAGTGCTTGATGGTTTTTGCGACTGAATTGAAGAAACCTTCAAAGTTCTTGAAATGTTCAGCATTGACTGACCTTCATGTCTTAAAGTAATTATGGACTGTCGTTTCTCTTTGCTTATTTGAGCTGTTCTTGCCATTATATGGACTTGGTCTTTTACCAAATAGGGCTATCTTCTGTATACCACCCCTACCTTGTCACAGCACAACTGATTGGCTCAAACGCATTAAGAAGGAAAGAAATTCAACAAATTAACTTTTAACAAGGCACACCTGTTAATTGAAATGCATTCCAGGTGACTACCTCATGAAGCTGGTTGAGAGAATGCCAAGAGTGTGCAAAGCTGTCATCAAGGCAAAGGGTGGCTACTTTGAAGAATCTCAAATATAACATTTATTTTGATTTGTTTAACACTTTTTTGGTTACAACATGATTCCATATGTGGTATTTCATAGTTTTGATGTATTCACTATTATTCTACAATGTAGAAAATAGTAAAAATAAAGAAAAACCCTTGAATGAGTAGGTGTGACCAAACTTTTGACTGGTAATGTATATTACAATAGGTTTACTGTAATATTACAAACATAATTTTACTTGCCACTGAGCTGCCTGTAAATTACAGTCAAATTCATGGTAACCCCTTTACAGTGTACAGTGCCTTGCAAAAGTATTCATCCCCCTTGGCGTTTTTTCCTATTTTGTTGCATTACAACCTGTAATTTAAATGGATTTCATGGGGAATTCATGTAATGGACATACACAAAATCGTCCAAATTGATGAAGTGAAATGAAAAAAATAACATGATGCAAAAAATTCAAATAAATAAAGGAAATGTGGTGCGTGCGTACAGTTGAAGTCGGAAGTTTACATACACCTTAGCCAAATAGATTTAAACAATTCCTGACATTTAATCCTAGTAAAAATTCCCTGTCTTAGGTCAGTTAGGGTCACCACTTTATTTTAAGAATGTGAAATGTCAGACAAATAGTAGAGAGAATGATTTATTTCAGCTATAATTTATTTCATCACATTCCCAGTGGGTCAGAAGTTTACATACACTCAATTAGTATTTGGTAACATTGCCTTTACATTGTTTAACTTGGGTCAAACGTTTCGGGTAGTCTTCCACAAGCTTCCCACAATAAGTTGGGTGAATTTTGGCCCATTCCTCCTGACAGAGCTGGTGTAACTGAGTCAGGTTTGTAGGCCTCCTTGCTCGCACACACTTTTTCAGTTCTGCCCATAAGTTTTCGATAGGATTGAGGTCAGGGCTTTGTGATGGCCACTCCAATACCTTGACTTTGTTGTCCTTAAGCCATTTTGGCACAACTTTGGAAGTATGCTTGTGGTCATTGTCCATTTGGAAGACCCATTTGCGACCAAGCTTTAACTTCCTGACTGATGTCTTGAGATGTTGCTTCAATATATCCACATAATTTTCCTTCCTCATGATGCCATCTATTTTGTGAAGTGCACCAGTTCCTCCTGCAGCAAAGCACCCCCACAGCATGATGCAGCCACCCCCGTGCTTCACGGTTGGGATGGTGTTCTTCGGCTTAAAAGCGTCCCCCTTTTTCCTCCAAACATAACGATGGTCATTACGGGCAAACAGTTCTATTTTTGTTTCATCAGGCCAGAGGACATTTCTCCAAAAAGTACAATCTTTGTCCCCATAGGGGTGAATAGTTATGCACACTCAAGTTTTCAGTTTTTTTGTCTTATTTCTTGTTTGTTTCACCAATAAAATAATATATATATATCTTCAAAGTGGTAGGTATGTTGTGTGAATCAAATAATACAAACCCCCAAAAAATCCATTTTAATTCCAGGTTGTAAGGCTACAAAATAGGAAAAATACCAAGGGGGATGAATGCTTTCGCAAGCCTCTGTAGAGAAGACAAGGAGAGACAGAGGGCGAGATAGAGAGGAAGAGTGAGGGAGAGGAAGTAAGGATAGATGGCTGTGGTGGATGAGACAGTGGAAGTGGGAGAGAGACAGACAGTGAGAGGGAGGTTGCTATAGTTAGAATGAGAGAGAGTAGAGAGAGAGGGAGGGGGAGGGTGACTTGGCTTTCAGTGGCGAAATTAGAGATGATGTCCACTAGAGCAAAAGGAGCGTACTTCTCCAACCCACCCCCTGTCCCCAAACCCTGGAGCATTGGTTGCAATGCAGATGCAGTGGACCAAACATTAGCAATGGTCCATTACTAAAATGCCTGGCTGTCTAGACCGGTGGTTCTGAAACTGTGGGTCACGGCTGGTGTCCAGGTGTGGAGCAGGTTGACATTTCTTGTGCATTTTAAAATGTGTGTGTGCTTACCACTCAACCCTTATGGTGGGTCACGACTCAAAAGACACCTCAATTGGATATTATTGTGTTACTATTTCCTTTTTTTTATTAGCACATTTCTACTTTTTTTCTCTGCATTGTTGGAAAGGGGCTCGTAAGTAAGCATTTCACGGTAAAGTCTACAACTGTTGTATTCGGCGAAGGTGAAAAATACATTTGATTTGATTTGGTTTCCACGGTCGTTATGTTAATTGGAAAAACGAATGGCACAAGCAAGAGTGGGAAAGAGTCGCCAGATTAAAATTCAACCAATCAATCTAGCAAGATTTAAGTGACAAATGGATTTTGTACCCCTCAAACACAGGAAATGGATGGCTGAAAAGTAGAGATCGTCAGGTGGGCAGGGCATGCACATTGCTAGCCCTTGTGTCCGTAAGAGTACATTCACACAGAAGAGACACTTATTTATTCACATTATCTGTGGTTGCTTCCAAGGATGGCCTTGTTTTGAGCCACAAAAAGATCCAGTGGTTTATATTGGGCAGCGTAGTTCCAGGAAATACTATGCCTTAAAAGCTTTCTGCGGCTATCTCTGACCAAGCAATGATGGATCCACTCTCTGTAGAGTAAACAATGATCCGAATCTGTGTGTGTATGTGTGTGTGCGTTTATGCATAATGTGAGCGAGTGTGTGCTTGTTCGTGTGTGCATGCATGCATATGTGAGTGAATGTGTATGTATCTTGGTAACTGCTTTTGCACAGTGGGTGTGTAGACATGGATCATTAGAGAACTACTTGTCTATCCCCTTGTATGTTCTGTATTCCATCATACTATGTAAGTAGGGGCTTACAGAGCAGAGAAGCATACATTCCAGTTTTCTGGTATGACCCTGTCACATGTTAAGTATTGAACTGTAAGTGATTGCGTTCCAAGTTCGTAGTTGTCAACAGCTCTCTAATCGTTCCGGATTAATCTCTCTGCACTCTCCAGTCTCTGCCTCTGGTTTCCCAGGCTGTCTGGTTATTGTTCCCTGTTTGTCTGGTTCTCATTTCCTGCTTGTCTAGTATCTAGACAATATTCTCATGGTCTTCCCTGTCTCTATCTCTATCCTTAATGGTTTCAGTTGTCTTAACTGTCTCTGGTTCTCTCTCTATCCTGACTGTTCTCCAATGCACTAATGATCTTTGGCTCCTATCCAACAGTCTGAATGGTCTCCAATTTACATTGACATTTTAGTCATTTAGCAGACACTCTTATCCAGAGCGATTTACAGATAGTGCATTCATCTT